ATTTACTTAACATAACACTGTCTTGTGTCAGCTGAGGCACCCTGATGTTGACGTCCCAAACTAGCTCTCATGGCGGTCAGAATAACGACAACAATAACAACCACGACAAACTACCACCAGAACCATAACAACAACAACAACAACCACGACAGCAATCATAACAACATCAACCACCACCATCAGAACCACCACCACAACCGCCATTTCAACAACAACCACCATCACATCAACAACCATCACCACCACCACAACAACAACCACCACCTCCATCACAACAACGATCACCACCACCACAACAACAATAATACTATTATTACTACTACTACTACTACTACTACTACTACTACTACTACTACTACTACTACTACTACTACTACTACTACTACTACTTTTTTTAAAGTAGTCAACCTCCAATAGCCACAACCCACCATTTATTTACCTTAATATTAAATATCCTAATACATAAGCAACTATCCTATCTGTGTTAAATTAGTTGAGCCGCAGATCGATGCGGCATTCGGTGACTGTAGCCTCATAGTCGATATCTGCAGCAGTTGACGGAGTAGGGGCAGAAGCTCTCGTTCCCCTGAGGCAGAGCAAAGCCGACCGAAGGAGAGAGAAGGACAGTCGACATCTCATCCAGGCTGTGACATAACTTCTGGGCTGCTGCTTCTGTTCGGAGATCACCTCCGCGAGTCTGGCGTAGAAACATCTTGCGCTTGGGCCCATCCCACCAGAGGTTGTGAACACCAGCGGAGTGAAGCTGCCTTGATCGACATTTTGAATTCTCTCCCCATATGCCCTTCTCTTGTCGTTCTCGTTCCTCCTATGTGCAGCATCGAGAGCTAGGTTACGGTGACAAACGGCCATGGGATCAAAAATCCTGATGTCGAAGAAAGCTTGCTGTCCCCGCGTCCAGAATCCTCGAGCACTGACGTCCACACGGGCTTCGTTAGATGTGTTTGAAGTCCTGTGTTGGAGATCTCGCCATCCAGTGGAAGGAGGGTCGGTTCTACCATGACGTCCCGGCATTTCAACATACAAGTGATCCCTTACCTCGTCATGGCTCATGCATATGCAGCTCTGCAAACCATATGGCGTGATCGCCATCATAGAATACACACACGCATTGGGAGGGGCAACCATCTACTGGCCAACCCGTACCTTAGAGCAATGGCATACCTGTAAATTTGTTTGTTAAGGCTGAAACCATTTGCCCTTATCGGTAACGTAGTTAACCAGTTCGAGGCGCCCACCTCCTGCGCTATAGCTACTTTTTTTGTCAAATTTTCTGGAACCTGCAGCAATAGTTGCTGCAACATATCATTTTGGCAGTGCTGCCGATCTGTTGTAATGGATCTACGGATCTTATTAACTTCGCTGGTGTCCACTTCCCCTGTTGCATTCTGGGCTATTATGTGGTCAGTGAGGGCTGCCGTGAGCTTAAGTGAATTTTGATGTTCAGAGTCAGCAATCTCCTCTGGATTAGTTAGTCCCATCCCTCCCAGTCTTGGTGGAAGTGCAAGAAGTGTTCTTTCTACTGGGGTTAAGTCGTGGTGTTTCACTAGTTTGGGAATGAACTTGACGCTGATTGCTTCTTCCAAAGGGTGGAGGAGGGGTCGGATCTCAGGGATGGTACGCATCAGGTAGTTCCAACGATGCTTGACTCCATGTGTGAATGCTGCAAAGGCCGCATGTGGCTCTGTGTTAGCAATCTCCGATAGAGCATGGATTTCGCTAACCCACTCATTCACCTTTCCCCCTACGTACTGGGTCTTGAAGTCCGTAGTGCCAATTACTGCGCCTAGATGTCTTTGGCCGTCCTTAGTTATTTTGACCTCACTTTCGCCGAAAACCTCCACAGCCCGATCATAATGATCTGGCTTCACGATGAGGAAGGATTTGTTGGCGTTTGGGTGGTACCCTTGCCGGACCTAATAATAATAATAATAAAAATAATAATAATAATAATAATAATAATAATAATAATAATAATAATAATAATCACTACTACTGGTCATCAAAGGGTTTATAATGATGTCCGTTAATGTGATGCTTCAATTAACAGATCGACGAGATTGATTTATTGACCGGCACAAGATACTAAAGGGGGGATGTTCATATAGAGTTTCGAACCGGTGTAGTTGTGTTCAGTGAGTGTGTTTGTGAGCCTGTGAACCACCCGAATCATAACCTAACTTAACCTAACCTAGAACCAAACAGACCTAACCTACGTAACCTAACCTAAATTAAACCTAGAAGATTATGGCGAGGTATATAAAAAAAAATATATCTTCGGTCTGTTTAATATAATATGGCTTCAGTCTCTTCAGTATAATAGGCCACTGGCTCGTTTCTCCTTTAATAACACAAATATTATAGAAATTAAAATTTCCTTCGTCCGGAAATGGGAATTGAATTTTATAGGTGACTGTAATCCTTATGCCAGGTGTGTGTGTGTGTGTGTGTGTGTGTGTGTGTGTGTGTGTGTGTGTGTGTGTGTGTGTGTGTGTGTGTGTGTGTGTGTGTGTGTGTGTGTGTGTGTGTGTGTGTCGGGAGGGAGAGGTGAGAGGAGGCAGGAGGGTGAGAGGAGGAGGCAGGAGGTGGGTGAGAGGAGGCAGGGAGTGTGGTGAGAGGAGGCAGGGAGAGTGGTGAGAGGAGGGAGGGAGAGTAGGCAGGGAGTGTGGTGAGAGGAGGCAGGGAGTGTGGTGAGAGGAGGCAGGGAGAATGGTGAGAGGAGGAGAGAGTGGTGAGAGGAGGCAGCTGAGAGAGTTGGAGTGAAGGCCACCTGTGGCTTTGATTGGCGGAAGTAAAGGTGAGAGTGGGAGGGAGAGCGGCAGCAAGAAGAATGATAAAGATGGAAGTAAAAGGTAACGTAAGATAGAGGCGAAGAATGGAACAACAAGGGTATAGAAGGAGGAATCAACAAAGAAGAGAGGATCATTTTACCGACATGACGAATATAGAAGACTAAAACGAAGGAAGAATAGAAATAAAAAAACAAAATAAACGAAAGAAAGAAAATCTGGGAACAAGAAGAGGTAATAGAGGGATGGAAGAAAGGAATAGAGGAGATAGAAGAGTAATGTGATAAAGAAAGAGATAGAGGTTTAACTCAGGTAATTGGTTATCGACTCTACCTGTCTGCTGGTTGGTTCACAATAGAGTATGATAACTTTAATGGTCGACCAATACTGTTTTATAAGAGATGGATACTATAGTTAGGTAATCGACTATAACAACGAAATTATATATGAGATAAACATAAAAAAGTGAAGGAATAAGAGGGAAAGTATGATAACAGGGAAACAATAAGGAAACAGGGAAAGAATGTATGTAGTTATTTTAATTGGGGAAAAAATAAATAAACTCGAGGGTTCTTGTTTTGTTTAACTACTTGGAATTTTCCTTTCAGTTAAATGGTCATTATGAGATGGTGGTGGGGGGAGTGTGCTGGTGGTGGGTTAGGGAAGGGGAGGGGTGCTGGTGGTGGTGGGTCAGGGAAGGGTGGTAGGGTCAGGAAGGAGGGGTGGTGGCCTGCAGAGGGTGTTGGTGGTGTCAGAAGGAGGGTGCTGGTGGTGGTGGGTCAGGAAGGAGCGGTGGTGGGTCAGGGTCTTGCTTTTGCCGATTAACCTTACCATCGACCACCGTGAGCAGATGGACCATCGACTGGGTCCACAAGTGAGGGACTGGCGCTTTATGTGGCTTGTCGGGTTTAATCTAACCTAACCCGCCGTAATCCTTACATTTCTACCGCAAGGGTTTTGACCGATTTTTTCCTTAGCTTTTACCGTTTATTTCTTCTTTCTCTGATTCTAATGTAACTTCCAGCCCAACCCAACATAACCCAACCCAACATAACCCAACCCAACATAACCCAACCCAACATAACCCAACCAACATAACCCAACCCAACATAACCCAACCCAACATAACCCAACCCAACAACCCAACCCAACATAACCCAACCCAACATAACCCAACCCAACAACCTGCAACCCAACATAACCCGCCAACCCAACATAACCCAACCAATATAACCCAACCCAACATAACCCAACCCAACATAACCAGCCCAAATATAATCCAAACCCAACATAACCCAACCCAACATAACCCAACCCAACATAACTCCAGCTTCCAACATAACCCAAATTCCAATCTAAGATAACCCAATATAACCTGGGTCCCAACATAAACCAACCCACCCTCACTTCTCATATATGCTCCTGACCGATGCTGATGGAGAGAGTGGAGCTGTTGTCAGTGGCTATTCGTTACAGTAATTTACGAAATAGTGGGGAGCGGTTATTGTAATTCCCATTTGTGTGTGTGTGCGTGTGCGTGTGTGTGCGTGTGTGCGCGTGCGTGTGTGTGTGTGTGTGTGTGTGTGTGTGTGTGTGTGTGTGTGTGTTCAAATATATGTATACACACTGCAGGGAGAGACGAATTATATTTTTTAAGACTAATCGTACTTCCTCCACCTCTGACTTTCTCCTTCTTCTTTTCATTTTCCTTCCTTCTTTTTTCCTCCACTTTCTTTTCTTCCTTCTTCTTGTTCTTCTTGTTCTTGTTCTTCTTCTTCTTCTTTTTAACTCATTATCTTCTTGTTCTTCTTCTTCTTGTTCTTCTTGTTGTTCCTCTTGTTCTTCTTGTTGTTCTTCTTCTTCTTCTTTTTAACTCTCATTATCTTCTTGTTCTTCTTCTTGTTCTTCTTGTTCTTCTTCCTGTTCTTCGTGTTCTTCTTCTTAACTATCATTATCATTAGTATAGCTTTGTCTAATTCCTTCAAGACTCTCTCACTGTGCACTTGGTTCCTGTGATGTAAATCTATGTAGCTCAGGACCACGATCTGAAGTACTCGTGTTGTGAGGTGAACTATAGTGATTATTAGAAGGCTTGGACGTGACACCGTGCAGACCAGTTACTGTACATCAGGGTTAAAGATAAAATGGGGATCTCCATTGTCGTTTCTAGGGGAGGGGGAAATGTGAGACTAAATGAGAAGTATGTCATGCTGCTACCCTTACATGTCGTTGTTTTAAGAAAGAATTTTGGCTGGATTTTTCTTTTCTTTTTTCTTCTTTTCTTTTTTACCAAAGGTTTCACTTTACTTTTAAGAACATACTGTAAGTGTACGATAATAAGATGATAGACTTTAAAATAAGTAATTATAAAACATGTTAGATTTATTATATCAGTTTTTAGGAAGTGTTTGGCAGTAAAGGACGAGGTGTGATGCTACGGGTAGGAGGCCACCAGTGTGTGTCCTCGGTGTTAATGTTGGTGATCTCTGGTCCGTAGCTCGAGGGTTGAGGGGCTGCGAGGATGGGCGCCACACCGCCCATGACGTGACGGGGCGCCTTGCGTGGGCGCCGCCCATGGCCATGGACCACGCCCACGGCACCCACGCCCCTCACGACATCTCCACGCCTACCTCCCGTCCTGAGAACGCCCGTGGGCGTGGCCACGCACGTTCCCGCAGCCGCGACGCCTCAACAGACTCACACCACCACGCACGCGACGCTTCGCTAGGTGAGTACAACGCCGAGATCTCCTAGCTAGGTGAGTACGACGCCGGGATCTCCTAGCTAGGTGAGTATGACGCCGGGATCTCGTTGCTAGGTGAGTACAACGCCGGGATCTCCTAGCTAGGTGAGTACGACGCCGAGATCTCCTAGCTAGGTGAGTACGACGCTGGGATTTCGTTGCTATGTGAGTACGACGCCGGGATCTCCTAGCTAGGTGAGTACGACGCCGAGATATCCTAGCTAGGTGAGTACGACGCCGGGATCTCCTAGCTAGGTGAGTACGACGCCGGGATATTCTCGTTACATTAGACATAAAGTTTATATTATGTTGGTGGTGACTCGTGACAATATTCATACCTAATACCTCAGTGTGGAAGGACTGGCGGCGCTACCGTCCACGTGAAGCTGTCTTAAGTCGTGTCTGCCAGGCTGTAGTGGAGTCATGTACAGTAACTGGGCTCTGGCTGTCAAGACACGAGAATATCTTTCCCACGACTGGCGATGATTGAATACATTTAAACGAGTTAATTAAGCTGTGACTTATATACGTCCTCCGAATTGGTTTTAAAATTGGCCTTAGACTGTGACGTAATTGAAGCCGTTCTCTTATCTCCTCTTACGGGGAGAACATTACATGAGAGTCATTGAGAACCTGAGTGGAGGCAGGCGATATATGAGCCGGGGGTGAGGCGCCACAGGTGAGTCATGGTTGACATTTGCTGCGTGGATGTGAAGTCTTGTAGCCCCCCCTCCCCACCCCCTCCCCACCCAGCAGCCTCCTGACGCTACCTGAAGCCCGCCACCACCGTCACGCCTCCCTAGTTCAACTAACACTGGTAGACTGTCAGGAGCTCCTCTGTGTATGTATAGTTTGTGTATATTGTATGAGTGTCCACCAGTGCTGTGTGTGTGTCAGCCGGTGTTTTCTGGAAACACTCAATACTGCAAGAATAGAGAAGTAGTTTGGGTCAGTTTCAAGGAATGGTCATTAAAAGGTCAAGGACTCCTGTATCCCGATGTGCTATACTTCCGTGCAGTAATGAGTATAAAGGTGTTATTAACGTTATACAGGATGTCCGTAAGTGATTACCCTGATTAAAGCATGAGAACATACTGTTTTTAGGAGTAATCATTTATGGACACCCTGTATTTCCCCCTATGATAAGTGTTAACTATACTACACATAACCCGATACCAATGAGTAATTTCTTCAAAAACCTTAATAAATTTTGATGAATAAAATTTTTCGTATTTTGCCTTAGATAAGTGACCGAAGACAGATCAGAGGGTAAACATTCTTCCTGGTGTGGATTAATTATCAAAGACTGGCGAGATAAAACAAAAAATAATTACACCGTCAATTATAACATGTCCAAAAGGCTAAGGAAGGGAGCCGGAGTCTACAAGGATCGTTAGATGAAGGTTCAGTCGTAAGTTAAAACGTAGAACGAGACCCTGAAATGGTTAAGCTCTTATCACAAAAAATAGTGTGAAAGTATTATCAAAATCATACTGACACTATACCAATTATGGGAGAAGAATATGGTGAACTCGTAAGTCAGGTAGATACATAAATAGTTAGAAAAACTCGTAAGTCAGGTAGATATATAAATAGTGTAAAAAAATAAACTCGTAAGTCAGGTAGATATATAAATAGTGTTAAAAAACTCGTAAGTCAGGTAGATATATAAATAGTGTAAAAAAATAAACTCGTAAGTCAGGTAGATATATAAATAGTGATAAAAAACTCGTAAGTCAGGTAGATATATAAATAGTGTTAAAATACTCGTAAGTCAGGTAGATATATAAATAATGATAAAAAACTCGTAAGTCAGGTAGATATATAAATAATGATAAAAAACTCGTAAGTCAGGTAGATATATAAGTCTTACGTTATATTTTACAGCGAAGAATTTAAGAACGAAGAGCCACAGTTCCCTTCATGAAAGACATCTCATTTCCTCTCCATAACTCGGCTCTGGATTCTTAGAAATTTGGCACGTGAAATTTTCCTCCTTGTAGATATGAGAATTCTTTTTTAGTTTAGTTTATTTTAATTGTCTCATCTTACAACGAAACACCTATAAATATGACGACGAAAATAGTGTTCAGAATGTTGTGAGATTCTACCTTAAAGAGAGTAATTCATATCTTTCATTATTTGTGTGTGTGTGTGTGTGTGTGTGTGTGTGTGTGTGTGTGTGTGTGTGTGTGTGTGTGTGTGTGTGTGTGTGTGTGTGTGTGTGTGTGTGTGTGTGTGTGTGTGATAGGTCGTCTCTTACATTAAATATGATGACTGATAAGCGGCATGGAACACCACCTTGTCATTGAGGTTAATGAGTCTCCAGGTCCTGTTGAATACGAGAAAATAGGACGAATGATTTTGCAAAATTTAATCCTATGTTGATAAATATTGGAGCCTCGAGTTGTGGCGTTGACAGGTGGCATAGCATCTGTGCTCGAGGGTATTACCGGGTCAGCCATGTCAGAGAGGAAGGGCGTTTAGAATGTTGTCCACGCTTGATGTGTTGTGGCGGGAACCTTATATGGATGGAACACTATATTTTGTGTGTTATAGTTACAGAAGGTGGCGGTATGTGTGTGTGTGTGTGTGTGTGTGTGTGTGTGTGTGTGTGTGTGTGTGTGTGTGTGTGTGTGTGTGTGTGTGTGTATGTGTGTGCGTGCGCGTGCGTGTCCGTCATGTATTGGCAGGGCCCCGACTCAGTGCTATATCAAGGTTTTAAGTATACCACAGTTTATTAAAATATTCAAGGTAATATATTGTTAAATGTCCTCCATCTTCAGTTGAGTTTCATTTTAACTTGAGTGTAAGAGAACATGTTCAGGATACTGTATAAGGTGGGTAGAATTTGTTTAGGTTTAGTTTCTTAAACACACACACACTGACACACACTGACACACACTGACACACACACACACTAACACACTGTACACACACACACACACACACACACTGACACACACACACACACACACACACACACACACACACACACACACACACACACACACACACACACACACGTACGTTATCTTTCCCCCTGTCTCTTATCTATGACTCATGTCAGATGGCACTGAGTAGTTCTCTTATGACCCGACAGGTGGCACCGCCCGGCGTGTCGGTGGTGGTGGTGGTGGTGGTGAAGAGCCAGGCTCCAATTCCAGAGGTTCCTCTCCTGCCCGCCCGCACGCCCACTCAGCCACGCCAGTACACTCAACGCCGCCCACGCTACTCAGGCACGCACATAACCTGTAAGTATTCTCTATTATTTTTTTATCACCGAGCAACCCATGTAATTATTTTTAATATATATTCAGATTATTTTAATTGGCTGTCTGTGCTGATAACCTCCAGTAACACAAAAAGATGAGATACTGAAACTCGGCTGCCTGTGTCCGTAGACTTAATGCAGCGCTTTACTCCGCTCACACAACAGCGAGGAGGATGCCTTAGGTGTAGCCAACATGATTTATTTACTTATTTTGTTCTTTTTGCTATAAATAAAGTGTGAAAGAACACTAATTAAAATGATTGTTTCATGTTATGCTTCATAGTTTTAGTTGTGGCTGACTGCCTGATCACCAACACTTAAATCAAATGGAACTGGGAGCCTGTTACTGTGTTACATTAATGCATCGCTCCCGCAGGTACCACATAAAGTTCCCTGTTTATCTAATGGAGGTTTGTGTTGTTACTGTGAACCTGTACATTCCATCTTATGTGTTGAGGTGTTGACCGAGGCCAGGGTACTGAAGAGAACACACGGCGAGGTGTTCAGTGTGGGACAGGGTTTGTGTAGGGTAGTGGCGGCTGCTTGACAACACGTCTCTCACACGACAGGTGATGCAGAAGCCAAGCACGCCCACGCTGGGAAGCCGGCGAACACACCCGGCTCTCGTCCGCCAATTTTCCTTACCACAAGTGCTCAGGTGAGGTCGCCATACGCCCCTGTTTGAGGCCACGCGCACCCACAGCGTTTTTCTCACGTTTGTTGCGCCTGTCAGCCAGTCACAACGAAGGTCACAGTGAGTCATCCGCGCCTCGGCCGTGCACAATCATGTTACAATCCCCAAATTCCTGTAGTAATCTAACTTAATTGTTCAACCAGAGTTAACCTAACCTTACTTAACCCAAACTAATCCAGACCTGGATAGATTCTACCCTAACCATACCTCACAAGATTCCTTAAGGGATGAGTGACAAGTGTACGACAACCAGCTCGTAGATGATGTAACTGTGACGTACTTTTTTGTGATTGGCTGACCAAGACCAGGCTGGCGCATCTTACTTTGGGAAAATTATCGCTGCCGGCCCTTTCACCGCTGCCGCTGCTGTTGCTGTTGCTTCCCCGCTGCTAATGAATGCTCCTTTCGCCACAGTCTCACGAATAATGCTGCTGAGGCTTTGTGGTAACACCTCCGCGACAGTACTGCGGTCTGCACCATTATACATGTTTCGTTTTAGATCCACAGATTTTCTTCTATTACCGTGTATTTACCTCCACCTGCAGCCAAGTTTTTTTTTTTGCTTTCCGTTTGCCTCTACGCACTTGATATACTTGCCAGAACCCACTTCTCTTTGGGACAATGGTACAACACGTTACTGCTGCTGCTGTTGTTGGTATTGCTCACCCAAATTAGGCTTTTAGGTGAGGTCAGCGTGGGTTGTTGATGCTAGAGTATGTTGATATTGTCAAACCTTCGCTCATGTTGAGTTGCATCAATTAGTTTAATTTGTACCCGAAGGGACGGTTCATTACACAAGTTCTTTGTATATGGAAGCTATATTTCAATAAGAGTCAAATAGTATTGAAATGATTCTCATATTGCATCGTGTTCGTTGAAAACTGCAGCAGCAACCAGTAGCCTGTGGTGACTACTCGCAACTCTTTAGTCAGCCGTGGTGAGCTCCTCTGCCGGCCACGTTTTCTCTGCTTCAGTTTGGTTTTCTCTTTTCTCTCTCAAGTGAAGAAGGACGGACTCTTGTACTCTGGTTAAGACTTTCCCTCTCTCGACACTCTTCGAGGCAGTTTAATGTGTAGCAACTTCTCAAAATATAAAAATAATTTATGTGTACCAAGTAAGCCATTGGTGTGAGTAGCTACGAGAAGCTGTTGATACATCACAAGTAGAGACTTGTTACTCAAGGGCCTCGCTCACGTTACACAAGTGTCCGTGTTAGTCACTTCATTGTGCTCTAAAAACTGCCTATGAGTTCTCCGTCACCCGGTTCTTCTCCCCCTTTATTTATGGTGTTTTCAATTCTTTATAATTACCTCATATATATATATATATATATATATATATATATATATATATATATATATATATATATATATATATATATATATATATATATATATACATATATATATATATTAGAATTTAGTAACAATAGTTGAGATTTAAAATGATATAAGTGACTACTTAAAGGTAGCATTATTCATGTTCTGAGAATCACCGAATTAAACATAATAATGTAAGCGAGCAGTTCACTGTTTACAGTAACATAATATGTATTTTAAGAGAACTTGAAAACATTAACAACTCCTGTCATGGCCTCATACATAGTTGGTGTTGACCGTGTGTGTAAGATTTTGATGTGGCTATCTTATTGGGATTGGACTCCATGGCCAGCCGTTGTAGGGGCACGAGTTTATCAAGAGTTCCAGTGTGGTGACCTTAAAGTTTCAAGTACAGTATTGTAAAAAGCTGTCACCAGGGCACCAGTCATCATTACAACTCTTTCTGAAACTTGGCACAATTGAAATGCAGACGCTGACACCGATGTTTCAACATAAACCCGTAAGAATCGGATGTAGTTATGTCAACTTTCTTAAAATCTGAAGAATAGTGGAATAGCATTTGACCCAGTGCTCTCTTCTCCCTTAAATTGTAAGCCAGTGAGGAAAAACGCTCTCACAGGCTTGAAATATAGAAAGATACTAGCCAGGGTGCAGGACGCTGGTGCTCGCACCCGTTTTGTTTGTCATCGGACATGTTCCCGCCACATTGTGAGAGGAACAGACCGTCATATTTAACCCCCGTATTAACGACACACAATGCTGTAGCGATGTGTTACCTGAGTAACTGTAATGCGACTTCTTTAATTACGTTTGGTGAGAATCAGTGACGATGAATATTACACACAGTAACCTAGAGCAGCGGGTCTTGTTCCGTGCGTGAAGAACAGTGGTGTCAGCGCGGAAGTTCCAGTCCCGACGGCAGCTAAATAATCCACGGTGGTGCGTCGTCGACAAGTTCAGTGTTACCAACAGGGGACACTGGAACATTTTGCTGTTAGAGCTTTATGGTGTCCACACGTGAGAGGGAAGATGGTGAGCTACTGGGAGTGACGGTAGATGTGTTAGGTTTATTCTGTGCTGGTTACATGTTCAGTACAGCATGTAACAGTATCTGGCTCCATATCCTGTGCAGTATTTATAAGTAGCGTCTTCACTCTTTACCAACATTATAAGTCTCTTGTAACTACTTGTTCTTATTCGTTTTCTGTTCCTCCAAAGTTTTTCAGTCGTTTTTTGTTCTCACACTTGTCGTTTCCTGTTTCTTTTAAATCAGTCGTTTGTTATTCCTCGTAGTTTAGTCGTGTCCTGTTCTATGTACTTAAGAGTCTTTGTGTTCTGGTGTTTGTAGTTATACCGATCATTTTCTGTTACCGTCACTAGGAAGGTTCACAGGTGTTGTACTTAGTGGGTATGTCCAGTCCATGTATTTTTATCCACTCTTTTTATGCATAACATTTCTAACTTTTTTATTTTATTTTTTTTTTTTTAGATACTCGGATGCACCTTGAACATTTCTGATTGTACGTTAACGTTGACGCGTGTCGTACCTGTGTTGATGAGTGTTTTGAACCTGTTTATATATTTCACCTGGTGTGTGTTCCTGGGTTTGCTGTCATCCCCTACCCCCCTTCACCTCCCTCCCCTCACCTCACCTCCCCCCTCTCCATATCTTTAACATCCAGTACAGGTAAATATGATTAATTAGTTTGCTAGTCCACCCTGCCTATTATTACATCTGTTACCTTGATGGTCTTGTGATGACACTAGGAGGGCGACCGTCACCTGGCTCCACGTCTCCCCGGAAGAGAATGGTAAGTAGTGTGTTTATTTTTCCCAGCGTCTTGTGTAGGTAAATATATATGAATGTTATGTGAGGTATTAAAAAAAATATATGTTATTTTATTGTTGTGAGTGTTTGTTTATTTAAGGAATTTTTTGGGGTCGATTGTGGGGTTTATTGTTTGTTGGGGGTGAGGGAGGGACACACACACACACACACACACACACACACACACACTTTGCTATGATTTACACACCCAAAAGTTTAAGATCGACGAAAGAAGATTTAGAATGATATTTGTAAGCGTGCAAATGGTAAATAATTATAAGAGAATTTAAATTGGCTGGAAATTGCAATACTCGTTGGATAAAATTAGGTCTCACCCAGGCTGGCATGGACGGAGGTCACGTATAAATAGTTTACCGCTAAATATACCTTAAAATCACTCCCCGCTGCTATGTGGAGTGGGCATCTTAAATATATTGCCTTGATTGTACCGCTGAATTAAGAGCCGGGTCGTTAGTGTAGTTGCTTGTTTAGTTCCCAGTTGGAATTGATATGTCACTGATCGCCTTCCCCTCCGCACAGCTGGGTCAACTGAGTGTGCCCCGGGGGAGAACCAGCGGCGCGAATGAATAGTTCCGGGCGTCATGTTCTGTCTTCGTCTGTCTCTTTTCCCTCGTTTCTGTCTTCTCGTACAGTAAAACCTCCTTATATCGGATCTCTCTCTACATATAATCCGTTAATTAGGGGGTTTCACATTGATATAGCGGACTTTCAGCTTTATATAGTTCGTTAAATAGAGGTTTGTTGGATGGAAGATTATTGTGTGTGTTGAGAAATGCTTAGGTCCTTCCTCTTCCTCCTCCTCTTCCTTTCCCTCTCCCTCCTCCTCTTCCTTTCCCTCTCCCTCCTCCTCTTCCTTTCCCTCTCCCTCTTCCTCCTCCTCCCCTCCTAGGCAGTCGTCTTGTGCGTGTTGGTGTTGAAGACTTTTTTAATAATTTGATATAAGCTTATTACCATTAGTCAGCGTCACGTGTTCAGCGGCTTTGATGTGTCACTTATTTGAATACCTCTCTCTCTCTCTCTCTCTCTCTCTCTCTCTCTCTCTCTCTCTCGTGTGTTACTAGGGGCCAACAGAACAATAGTAAATGTGTGAGGATAGATGGATATTGACTGGACGACCATATTTCTCACCTAATTCTTCTCCTGTCGGGCTGTGAGACGGTGGGAGGGAAAGGGACAGATGGGGAGGATTGTGGGAGGAGAGGGAGGATTGTAAGGGAAAGATAATTTATGAGAGAGAGAGAGAGAGAGAGAGAGAGGTTTTCACATAAATATGTCTCTTCATCATTCTGCTGAACATGTGTCTTTCATCAGTGTGAGGGAGGGGCGTGTGTGTGTCTCTCAGTCTCTCCCACTATTGTCTCTCTTAATCTAGTATATCCTTTATAATCTCTATGGAAATGTTGTCTATTTCTGAGAGCTTCTGTGTTTTCAGGGTTTTTTTTCCTTCCTTCTGATAAAATGTCTCTTCTTTTCAATGTGTTGTGTGTGTGTGTGTGTGTGTGTGTGTGTGTGTGTGTGTGTGTGTGTGTGTGTGTGTGTGTGTGTGTGTGTGTGTGTGTGTGTGTGTGTGTGTGTGTGTGTGTGTGTGTGTGTAGTACCATACATAAACGTAACCCTTTAGTGCCTGGAGGTTCCCCCAAGCTTAATTAATCGTCAGGTTGTAGTCGGAAGAAAATACTAAAGTGGGACAATCGTCGGGAAAGATTTATATAGGAGTGTTTCTATTGTACTTAGCGCAGTATGAGTGAAGGTACAGCTCTGAGGTGGTCGCTCCGT